AATATATATATATATATATATGAATATAAATCTAATGCTTTGGTGGCAAATGTAAAAAGAAAAAAAGAAATCCAGAGTCAAGGTGATGATGTTTGGATTTTTTTTTTTTTTACTTTTTAGGGACAGAGACTTAAAACATATTTGGCTTGACCAGAGCTATGCTGTCACAACATGTGTTGTAGCAGTACCTTGAACATTCACAGACATCATCTGGATTTTTCTTCACTCCTAGACATTCATACAGTACACACACACACACACACACACAGAGCCATTTGTCTTCACACAGATTTAATTCCATATGTCGAACCACTTACAGTTTCTCTCCTTTAAGTTTCAGGGGTTCAGATGTCACTCACGATTGGAAATCAGAACCTCAGTGATGTATCTCAAGGACTCAGGTTGACGCCAAAAAACACACAATAAATACCAGGAGCCGTTGATTTTTTTCAATGCGAGTGTGTTTGTTTGAACTAGAGCACAAGATGGCAGAGAAGACGCAGTGTGTTTTCACATCACTGTCGTCTGTCTGCAGGGTGCCCATGTCACTCACTTGGTTATCAAGCTCTGGAGTCAGAGACCATGTTTAGACGTTCAGGACAGAAAAGCTATTTTACTGTTCAAGGATCTGCAACCAACACACTGCTTGACTTTAACAAGGAATTGGAAATGTAAAAATAAATACCAATCTTTTTTTTACAGCATACAGTGAAGAAAGTTTAAGGGAAAGTGGTCAGGCTTTTATGTTGAATCTCTAAATTGATTTTGACTCTATTTTAAGGTCTGTCACTGCAGCAATGGTCATGAGCCAAATCACAAACAACACAATCACAAGTAACTCTATTATTGCATCAGAGAAATCAACAAATGTAATATACCCAGCATATTCCTTTTCTTGTTTACAGACGCATGTCGGTATTCTTGTAGATTGTATTGAGCTTTTCTTTTCTGTAGTGGTTTCCTTCGAGTCTGCCTAAATCAACTCTCGTTTTTTATTCCTTTTATATCCGCCTCACATCACTATGCTGTATTGTCACAATTTTAAAGATTGATTCCTTTTTGTTTCCCACCATGAACACGGATGCCGAAGAATGTCTCTTTTAATTTGAATGCTGTTGCGAACATGTTCCTCAAAAATGAAACATTGTTACTTAAATAGTGGAGGTGTGCCATGCCATGTTTGCTCAGATTTATTTTTTTAATGGCTGTCCTGTGAGGACACCAAGACTTGAATTACAGAGTGGTTTTTTTTTTGGGGGGTTTTTTCAGATGAGGTCACAATTGAGGCTATGCTCTCAACTGTGATGAATGATGTCAGTTAGCAGCAGGGCTTCAGGTCAGTCATAGTGTCAACTCGGTTCGCTCTGAAAATGACTTGATGCCAGGGATTGTTTGAACTTACAAATTGAACAAATTCAGCTGGATTCCTCATTCAAATGGTTCTAAGCCCCACCAGAGGAGTATTCAGATATCATGCCTTGTTTGGATTTTAATAGATTTTAATGCCATGGAATTAAAAATGATATATCTTCTAAGAGTTTTCAAGCTATTTCAATCTTTTTTTTTTTTTTAAGATTTTAACCGAGAACAGCCACATTATTGTGCTTAGTTTGCATCCAACACTAACGGTCTGAATCACACTAACAGTCTCGTGTTGAATTACTTTTCTTAATGCAAGGAGCACAATCAGTCCTAATTTATTGATGGTGGACAACGCCATCAAAAAGTACATGCTGAATTTTTAGGAAGGGTGATTGCGTCAATACGGATTGTTTGAAAACTCATGCACTATTTGCACCAAAAGCAAAGCCCTTAAAATACGGAACCAAATAAGAGATGAGGTCAGAACGATGACATGGCCTTGATATCGAAACATAAGAAATATATTTGAACTGAAGCTCAAAGCCTTCTGTAGGGACTGAAAGTAGCAGTTATTTGAATTGACCAGTCACTGAAATGTTGGCTGTTTGTGCGTTGTCATTTGTCATTTGAGGTCTTCGTTTGTTCCAAAGCATCACAAGTGCCCACACTGTTAGTTAGGTGCCATTATGTTCTTCATTTATTTACTAACTGTCACTTATTGGGTCTTTAATCAATAGAGAAGGGGATGCTTTTTGTTTGGCTATTCTGTCTGTGCTTAAATTACATGTTTTTGTGTGTGTTTGGATCACGTGACTTTGTCTCAGTGCAGTTTGACAGCAAAACATGATACTGTGCCAACCCATGAGACCCACTATTGTGCTATTAAATGGAACTTTTAAGAAGTGCCTCTCTGGTAGGTTTTAAAAATACAAAAAACATACAATATGTGGTGCAAACATTGCCATCCTAAAGGCTGTCCTGTGTATTTCCCCAACTCGCATGTATTTCCTTAATTACCACCTGCAGACAGATGACGACCCTCCTTTGAATGACAAATCAATCGGGCCAAACCTAAGAGTGGGTCAGTCATCCTCTCTTTCACATTCCCTCTAGTCTCATATAGATTCCTTGATTGTGGAGATCAAACTAACATTGAGGTCACTTTTAAAATAGATTCCATCTTGATTTAATGGCTTCATTTCATTCCATATCACTGAAATGTGGTATTCATGACAAGTAATCAATTGTGGGTACCCAAATGTTCAACAAAAGAAGATCATAATTCCCCACAACAAATACAATTGCATCTTTTATGCATTATCACCGAGGGAAACCAAACAGTTGTCCCTATTTCGCGTCTCTTTATTGCTGGAGCTTTTCACTAGTGGAGCGCTTTGGATGCCCTGGAGAATTAAAACGTGTCTCTGTTTCTAGAGCGCCGGACTTGAGGAAAGAGGGAGTCCAACTTCACTCTTCTTTCTACCTTTATATGTCCTTAATGTCTCCTGTCCAACTCCACTCACTGCTGTCCACCTATCGCTTCCTCTTCCTGTTTCACCTGTCCTTGGACCATGTTTCGCAGTGGTCACTGCCCACTCCCTTTTGTACATAATGTAAGGTTATTTATATTTTATTCCTGTCTGCTGCCTTGCTTATTATATTTTCTTCTCCCCCCTTCTTTTACTTTCTTTTTTAAAGATGTATATTGAACTGTATCGGGACCATTTTGAAATGTATTGGAGCTGTTTTGTTTTGGCCATTTTTAATTTGGTATAATTGTCTTAAGCGAATCTGATTTTTTTTTTTTTTTTTTTTTTTTTTTTTTTTTTTTTTTTTTTTTTTATTTGCCAATGTTTGTTTCTAGTGTTTTGTTATTCAACATTTGAATATATGTATATATAATTATATATATGATAAATTATATATAATTATATAATGCCAAATGGCCTTTTTAAGCAAGATACTGTTCAAACCTAATAAAGTGCTTGAGATTTTATCCATGTGTCTGTATTTCTTATGTCTTTAAATGCAAACATGCAGTTGTGCCGTGTTTTTGCTCGTTTCAAGTCAGGACAACCTGACGCTCATTACAGCTCACTTCTCAATGAAGACAAATGACATAGTGGTGCAGAATAATTGCCAATCATTCATGTACCTTATAGATCATGTAGTCCTCCTGAGTGTCGCTCTTGAAGGGTTTTCAATCAGTGTTTAACCCTTCACCCCCCCCCCCCCCCCATGAAATATTAATGGGCTTTTTGCACCAATACATAATTAACCAGGGAATCATTTAGGGTTACTGTTGAAGTGTTTGTGTGGACATTAAGACCTGGAATACATTTTAGGAGAATATGTTTACATCAAGGTATCGCTATTGAATGAAGCGGTTAATGGTCAGTTTGGTGGGCTCACAGTTTCTTGGGGTTTTGTATGAGTAGTATAGTCTACCGACTCAGCAACACTGTTGTGACATTCCTAATTATAGATAAGGAGATGGAAAGACATGCAGTATAATTGTAAACAATGTGATGACAAAGGCAGGATGACATTATTGAAGATCAGGAAAACGTTAGTTTCTTTCATGCATCAATACTAAGTGACAAACCTTTTTACTGTCGAGCATAATCTGAAGAGGTCCGTGTGAAGCAAATCATGCCAGTAAAAGATTCCCACCGGTGAACAAATCTGTTTAAAGCTTAAAGAAATAGAATTCATGCTGTAAAAACTTAGGAAAAGGTGAAGGAAAGATCAGACCTCTGATGTGAATTAAACGCAGCTGCACTATTAACAAAAACAAATTTGCAGATAACAATGTAGCCTCCCATTAGAATATGTAAAATGGTGGTCACGTCTCATCAGTGACGCATCTTGAAATCATCACGCTTAATCAAACAGTCCTGAGTCCACAGCAGCATGTCACGCCATCAGTCGCTGCCTGAGCAAGAACTGGCTCTGCATCTAAAATACCTTTCCTTTCCCTGATTGAGAGGAATCCACTGTTTGTTCCCCTGTCATCAGATACGCCTGTGTTTCCGCTGGCCAGAGGGTCATCCGGGTCAAAGGGAGGATGTGTGATCAGTCAATGTGGTCAAAACAGGTGCAAAAAGAGAGGAAATTGGAACTGTTGAATTTTACATTTTACAGGACCTGCAGTTTGATCTGAGCAACACGGTTAAATGCTATTAGACAAAGATAATTGTCGGCAGGGCCCAGACCCTAAAATGTATGCAGTAAGGAGCACTTCTGAGATCTTTTCTTAAGTCTGTGTGCTACACTGTATAAAAGAAAGTATATATGAATGATACTGTTTGTCATTAATCTGCTAATTAAATGACTTAAATCTGTTTCGGCCAGAATGACAGAATCTGGACGTGGATATGGGGGATGTGTGTGAGCAGATGAGCATCCCAGGGGTGTCAGTACTATTTGCAGGTGAAATTGAAATTGAAATTGGCCATGTCTTCTGGACCTCTTGTCCCCCAGGGACCGTTCATTTCACCACTGGGAACAGAAGGACCAGAGAGGTCAGCGATGGGCGGGGCAATTAGGGGATGATAATGGCAATGTGCACTGGGAGGAGTACATATATTCAAGAGGGGGGATGAGGTTGAAGATAATCTCTAAAGTATTACACTTGTGAGACACCTTTAGCCACTGACCAACTGAGGAGCAAGAGGAGTGAGCTTCTAGCGGGACATCTAGTGACACCTGTAGTGACAAAGTTGTGAGACTAAGGTAAGGGCATTTATTTACACTTCTTCTTGTACTAACATATACATTGTTAATATTTGAATAAATATTACTGTGAATGTTGTTGAGACCCAACTTTAATAGAAGGTGATTATTATAAAAAGAAACTTGTCTCTGAGGATGAACTAGCTCAAGATTTGATATGTTAGGCTTAATATTGTTTAGCAGTTTAACATTTGGCCTGAGAACTCTGTATATTTTGTCGATAATTATCACAGTAAATATAAGGAAATCATTTTTGCAAAAAAGGCAAACTAGCAGTAGAATAATGAAGACCAAAAATAAAATAACTTGAATGTCTGAATGTCTTGAAATCATTGCAAAATATCAGAGTTTTCTGGTGACAGACATATCTACTCTACATACAGTATCTGTTGAGTTTTTACTGCAGGAAAAGCTAAATCAAGGATGTTCAAACTTTCTGCTATACAAAAACTATTCCAAATTTGAATGTTGGAAAACGTGTAATCGTATTTAAACACTTTGCAATTTGATTTGATTTTCTAAATCAGGTACCAAAAGATAATAGCCTCAGAGTTAATCCATTGTCCATCTTTGCCTTTAGGTTGGAATATCATGTGTGTATCTCGGCTGGTTTTGCTGCTTGGGCTGCTTCTATGTGTGGGAGCTCAGCTGTCTGACGCCCAGCACTGGTCCCATGGTTGGTACCCTGGAGGCAAGAGGGAGCTGGACTCTTTCGGCACGTCAGAGGTCGGGATGAGTGTTTGTGTGCCAGCGTGCATAGTTTTCTCATTCATCGAGCATTTCCCTGCTGAGAATGAAGATATTCTTTACCTCTTTACTCTTCCCTCATATTCCGAATCTCACTCTCTCTGTTTCTCAGCTTGCAGAGGAGATTAAGCTGTGTGAGGCAGGAGAATGCAGCTACTTGAGACCCCAGAGGAGGAGTATTCTGAGAAACATAATTGTAAGTGAAATGACGGTGCCCTATTCAGTGCCGCATGGATGAGGGTTGTATAAACAGCTGTACAAAACAAGTCATTTGAGCTGCGTAATGTCCCACCGTAATCAAAGGGGTTTATGGTAATGACGGAATTAGCTGCTCAATAACTAGTTTCTTATTTAGCAAATAAAAATCCATGTCAATATCATTTCTTTGATTAAGACATGAGTGGAGTTAATATGAACACTATCACTACACTATATTATACAAATATGGAACAATGTAATCTAATCAGATCATCTACTCAACAGGGAATCTTTCTCTTACTTGTTTTAACAAGAATGTGTCTTCACACAAACATAAACAGATGCCATCCTGTTGACACAATGTCCCACATACTGTATCTATACACCGAACATAAAAACGAAAAGTTGTACTATAACTACATATTAAGTGTTTTGAGTATAGTGTGTCTGACTCTCATGTTATACTGTATTGCTCTTTGCAGTTGGATTCCTTAGCCAGAGAGCTCCAGAAGAGAAAGTGATGGCCTTCCACTCTACACTGCTTTTCTACCTGAACAACAACTTTATGTTGATTCTCTGAACTGGTGTATTTGTTAATTTTGTCTGTAAGGTTGTTTTCCAGCATTACATGTTTAAATTGTAATGTCCTAAAATAAAGTATCTATTTTGATATGAACTTTGTGTCTCTGTGTGTTTGTGTGTGTGTGTGTGTGTGTGTGTGTGTGTATGTGTGTGTCCAAAACAGTCTATAGCATATAGTGTGAATAATAAATGTGTAGTAAAAAAGTATGAAACTTGTATGTTGTAGAAGCAGCAACAACAAAAAGTGATTCATTCCATTTAGATGTTTCGGTTTTAGGGTCCTGGTATTGTGCATGCTGGTTTTAAGTTTACTGGGACACTTAAATAGAACATATAAAAGACACCATTTGACAAAAACTCAATTGAAAGAGAAAGGATATAACTTTTTATTTTAGTTGTAATTATTTAAGCATTTTATCATTTATCAAATATATTTTGACAGCTTTTCAATTTGTTTTTTTCTTACGGGGACACATTAAATTAATAACATTTTAAGTATACATAGATTATCTCAGTAATATTATAGGCTGTCATTTATTCATAGATCTACGGGATTGTCCCTTCTCAGCTGACATCACTAATACGACGTCACTGCGCACGCTCCAAGCACTATAGATAGGGAAAAACATGGACGACAGAAGTGTCTGTACTCCGCTTCTTGCTGGGTCAGACACTCAAAATAACAGTACTAGTACCCCTAACGCGGTTTCTGTCACAGATGCTGACAAAGTAATAAACACTAAAATAGATAGCACCCAGGTTGAAGGTGAGTTCTGTCTACAACGTGGACATTCAGCCGTATTGTGTCCTAACTGTCGAGCCAACGTTAGCTTTTTTTTAGCTAACTGGCTAGCCAGCTCAACAATCGAGTGAGCTACGTTAGCTCCTTGACTAAATGCGCTAATGTCAACTGTTTTAACGTTAGCTTTAACGTTAACAGTTAGGCACAATATTGTATTCCGCCCGGTGCGTACATGACTCGTTAAATGTATCGCCAATGAAAACACCCTCTGAGTTCATAGACCATCCCAATAGTGAAACCGATACAAGGAGAACGCTGCTCGTTTTCCGAGGTCCGGCCGGAAGTGGTCGGCCAACTGCTTATTTGTCTTGCGTGCCAAACGTTAGAATTCGCAAACCAGTACTTAACACAAACAGCCGTTGGGTTTGTATTGAAGTCAGATACCAGTGGTTACGGTTAGCTGGTGGGCCAGCAAGGCTGTTTTGTTAGCTAAATAACTTAAATACCATTTAGTGAGTGACACTGAATTGTATCTTGTCTCTGGCATTAAATGGTAACTTAGTAGCGTTACTTAAATCCGTCAACGTAATGGACAATTCACTAGCTAGTGGCAAAACACAACGTTGGTATTCTCAAGATGGTGAGTTTGATGGATCTCAGGCATAATCAGTTGAGTTGTCATTGATGAGTCTAACGTTAAAAATGGTCATCTGTCCCTCAAGATACACAACAAAACTATTTTTTTATAACATTGTACACATAATTTGAAATACAGTATCTACAATCCCTGTTCTCTTGATAACTGCTACTGTGATTATCATTTGGTAAGTACAGTATTTGAAATGTATCAACAGATATGAATATTTTGGCATATCAAAGTGTGCATTAATTGTTTTACTCATGGCAGTCCTTAGATATTAGATATATTTACTTAGATACAGAGGGAAATGCTGTATTTTAGTGCATAATTGTCCTTTTTGCATTAGATTGGAGAGAGTTGATATTCTGCCAACACACCATCAGTATTTGGACTCCAGATATTTTGAAAATATTCCATAATCCTTATTCTAATTCCTTATTTTTCTTAACTTCAGTTACATATTTGATAGAGCTACCGTGGCCATTTTCAGTATTGATTCATAGAGCAGTATTTTTTTAATGATTAAATCTATGATTTATTCAGTGACAATTGATCATCCGAAACATTAATATTCACAAATATATTGTATATACAGAACAAGCAAGCACATCTTCGCAGTTGAGAACCTAACGAATATGTTTTACGAACAAAATTAATATAACGCAATTGATTTAAAATCCGATTGTTTTTTTGTTGACTATTTGAGTAATCAACTGATGATTTCAGCTCTTGTTAAAAAATGTCATTCACCACAAGGCATAAAGGTGATTGTATTTCATAAAACAATTCATCAGTTATATATATGATTAGCTCAAGAATGAATACAGTGTCAGCTATACACGAAACCATATCATTGTTAAATTATGTAGATGTATTAATGTTTTAGTTATTGGAAGCAAGGATGCAAACAAAGAGTTTCACAGTAATACCTGTGTTTGTATTTATTGATGTAATTTTAATATAATCTCTAAAAATGAAACTCACAAACTGCTTCTTCACAGTTTTGGTAAAATAGCCACATCCATAACCAAATCTTTGAGCAAACAGTTGAGCTATTATGAATAATACAATTATTTGAGTGCTTCGTGTTTCAAGCTAAAATGAGCTGCGTGTGATATATATTTTATTGATGTAGAAGTGTCTGACAGCGTCCTGCGTTCAAAGGCTGCATGAAGGCAGAAGTGCAGTGAAAAATGATAAAATACATCAAGTAGAATTAATTCAGTCAAGCATGAAACTAAGATTTTCTCACATGCTGTTAATATATGTTACAAATATTTAGAGGTTTTGTGTGTGTGTCGTGTGGTAATTTAGAATTTTAATTATGGGAGGACCTCGTTTAATGCTGCCCCAAAAAATCC